GGAGTTGGGGAAAAATCTCATACCGCCCATGTGCGGAACTTGAGGAGTTTGCTCAGGGTGGAATACGTACGGGGGAGGAAAAGGCTGTTGCGGAGGCTGGAATCCGGCACGCATGAACCGTTCCATCTCCTCCAACCGGGCTTTTGTGGCCTCATCTGCTTTCCGCTGCTCCTCCCATCGCCGTTCGTGCTCCTCCAGTTCACGCTGCATTGTAGTAATACGAGGATCTTCTCCCCGCCTTGACCGAGAAGAGGAAGCGCCGGTGCTTCAATCATACAAAATCCGTTGCCCCTCGGACCCCAAGCACGAAACCCGGCCCTTGTAAACCCCGGCCGCCTCAATGGCCGCCTCATCATCCGCATCGGAATTGAGGTCGTCCTCCTGGGTCAAGCCTCGTGCCGCACGCTGCCTGTCAACGGATTCGTTGTACTTCGTCTGCATTTTCAAAAAATATTTTTTAAATGCTACATACTTAGATTTGAAATGTTACTAAATAATAAAATATGCTGTTACATACTTCGAAGTCAGCGAGGCGGGGTGGCAGATCGGCTTCAGATTCCTCGCCGTGCTTCGTCCAGCAATGCTTGACGAGCCGGAGAACACCAACCCTCTTCTTCTCAGGACCAGCCTACATGGTGTGAAAAAGACTTAAGTAAATTTTTTATAATGAAGGATTGTGATGGTGTAAGGTTTTTTGAATAGCACTTACAAGAGTTTCTTTATGGGCATTCTGAGATTTGCGACCCCCGTGCCACTGCATCTCCAAGGCCTTCTCGGACATCCGATTTTTCTTACCGGATTCACTTCTGGCCAAGAATTTCGGATCAGAAGACCAGTGGCGACAAAGGTTGGACCACACTTCATCCGAAACCCATTTAGGCTTTTTCGCACTTTTTCGGGCACACTTAAAAGTGGCGCGAAGCCAGGTCGAAATCCTAGCATTGTAGGCTTTAAGAATATCGGCACCGTTTGCGTGAGTCCAACGATAGCGACCCTTTATTAAAACAAATTGGATTAATTAATCACTAGGTATATATTAGGCCAATACAATTAGGGAGGGAACATTCATTTATTTTTACCTTGAACAGGTTCCACCATAGTTCGCGAACCTTGGGGTCAACATCCGAGTACGTGGCCCAAGTGCCAAGAAAGTGTCCTCCGATTATGCTTTTGATGCCTTTGAACACTTCTTCGTCACTTAAAAATTAATAGTATTTATTTATATAAGATTTGGTTAGATTATTTAACATTATATAAAATTATTGAAAATAAGGTTTCTTCATAACTACTTACAAAAGAACTTCTGCAGGGGTCACCCAAACAGCTCCTTCGTTGTTGCGCTCCGCTTCGGACATGGGCGCATAGTTAGGGCGGGGAGCCGAGGTCGATTGTTCGTTGCTCATCTAAAATATATTAATTTATTTTGTTTTTTGTTAGAACGTTTATAATAGAAGATCAAATTTTTATGTAAGTATTATCAATTGTCAATGTATATAACATATTAAACTGGATATAAGTTTAATATCAGGTTCCAATAATTGCTAATAAACAAATACTATAATTATCAAGGAGTTGACACAGTCGACCGAAAAATCAACCGGTTGGAGCTTATCAATGAGTTGACCGAGTCGATTCATTGATAAACTCCATCCTGACGATTCTTCGGGCTACGCCTTGAACCATGGATGGGCTACATCACATGTAGCGACATAATGTCAGTACATGCGCTTGGGAGAGTCCATCGATGACTCAAGCCGTAGCCAGAAGAATCGACAGATTGGAGCTTATCTAAGAATTGACTAGGTCAACTCATTGACAAGCTCCAACTGATCGATTCTTCGATCGACTGGGTCAACTCATTGATAAATTATAGGATGAGTTTATTAGAAATTATTGAACCACTCATATTAAACTTATACACAGTTTATTAAATTTTTACAGGGAAAAATAATATAAATACCCCAAACTTTGAAGGGATGTGACAAGAGCACCACAAACTTACATATGTAATTTAAATATCCCAAACTTTATATAAAGTTTGGGATGTTTAAATTACTTATGCAAGTTTGGGGTGCTTACCTCACACCCTTTCAAAGTTTGGGGTATATTTATTATTTTTCACTATAAAAATTTATACAAGTATTATCAATTGAAAATGTGTATAGCATATTAAACTATCTATTAGTTTAATATGAGGGGTCCATATTTTTTCATAATAAGTTCTTCTATAATTTGGTAATAAATTGCCCTTGGAGGTAACATGTTAAACTTTTTGCAAAGTTTACATGAGAGGAGATCATTTTTTATATTTTAGATATATCAGTTTATATGAGAGGCCATCTTTTTTTTTATCAGTCATATCAGTTTATATGAGAGGTCATTTTTTTTATCTGTTTTATACACATTTACAATTGTAAGTAACATGTTAAACTTTTTGCAAAGTTTACATGAGAGGCAATCTTTTTTTTTATGTTTTAGATACATGAATTTTATACAATTTTTATAAACAATTTTACAAAATAATAAAAAACAGTATACTTTTTTTTCAAAAACAGTTTATAAAAAAAAGTTTTTATACACTTTTTAAATAAAAAACAGTTTTTATACAAACTGTTATCTAGAAAAACAGTATAGTTTGAGTTTATACAAAAAAAACGGATTTTATAATGTCTAAATAACAGTTTTATACTTTTTTAATTAAATTACAAAAACAGATTATATAACACAGTTTTTATATAAACAGTTTTTACAATAAACAGATTTTAAACAGTTTTTACAATAAACAGTTTTTATATAAACAGTTTTTAATTAAATTACAATAACAGTTTTTAATTAACAGTTTTTATAAAAACTGTTTTTATATAAAACAGTTTTTATAAAAACAGTTTTTATAAAAACAGTTTTTATTAAAACTGTTTTTATAAAAACAGTTTTTATAAAAACTGTTTTATTTATTAAACAGTTTTTATAAAAACTGTTTTATTTATTAAACAGTTTTTATAAAAACTGTTTATTTACCATTTTGCTATAAAAACTGTTTTATAAAAAATTAGTTTTTAATATCCAGTTTTTAAAAAACAGTTTTTTTCAAACTGCTTATATCCAGATTTAAAAAAACTGTTTTGTTCTTTTTTAAGTAATTATAAAAACAGTTCATGTCCAATTTTTACTTTTTATATTTATTAAAACTGTTTATAAAAACTGTTTATAGAAACTGTTTATAAAAATTTGTAAAATTATAAAAACTGTTTATAAAATAATTTGTATACTTTTTATAAAAATTGTTTATAAAAATTTTTAAAATTATAATTAAACATGTTAAGTTTGTCAAAGCTTAACATGAGGGGGAATTTTTTTTTTAAATATTTCGGGTTAAAGCATGAAAATCAGAAACATTGTATAACCATAGAGAGGCATGCATATCACACACTAATCATATATATTAAATATTATTAATCATGCATATGAACATATATTACACATATAATAATCTAAATCATTTAAACATAATTATCATGCATACAAAACATATAAATCATGCATATGAAACATATAAACTAAAACAAGTTATATTAAACATATAAAACATCTATCAAACTAAATTATATTAAACATGTATACCAACTAAAGAACATGTATTTCTTGAAATTTATTTTCGAAATGTATTAAACATGTATTCGAAAATTATATTTCGAATATATACTATTAAACATGTTATATTAAAATTTAATATTAAACGAAAATTATATTTCGAATTTATTTTCGAAATAAATTTATTTTCGAAATAAAGAACATGTTATATTTCGAATTTATTTTCGAAAATTATATTTCGAATATTAAAGAACATTATAATTCGAATAAATATCATGTAAATAATCATGCATTTGAGTATATTTCAACGAAAGAGCATGCACTTTAATAATGGAACATAGTTATAATAACATGCATTTTTGGAATAAAAATCAAATACTAAAAATAGGAATGAAAAGTCATTTAAATTAGGAACACATAACCTTGATGAAGAGGACGGCGAAGAACGACGGAGGTAGCTAACGGAGAGCGGCGGCGGCGGTCAGTGGCGACAGATGGTGGAGGGCGGCGGTGGAGGGCGGCGGTGGAGGGCGGCGGTGGAGGGCGGCGGTGGAGGGCGGTGGAGATTGCCGGAATGAGAGGAGAAGTAAAGGGAGAAGGAGTTTTAGGGTTGGGAGAGTGGTGGGAATGAAAAAATTCGCTAAGTGTCGTTTTTATATAAGGGCTTAGTCACGGTCATAGTCACGACCCTGACCGTGACTAAACCCTTCGTAAATGTCGCTGCAGGCCTGACGGTCAGAGCCGCCGCTGACCGGAATAGTCACGGTCAGAGCCGTGACTAGGACCGTGACTATTTTGGCATTTTCAAATAGTCATGGTCCTAGTCACGGCTCTGACCGTGACTATTCCGGTCAGCGGCGGCTCTGACCGTCAGGCCTGCAGCGACATTTACGAAGGGTTTAGTCACGGTCAGGGCCGTGACTATGACCGTGACTTTAATTTTCTTTGTAATTTTGTATTTTCGAAGTATTTAAATTATTGGATCAATTTTCGAATTTATAATATGGAATATTGTGGAAATTTGTAGTGTGGACTGTGAAGTATTAAATAAACTGCTTTCAATTTATCTGGTTTCAATCTGTATCTGAACCGTCTATCTATTCACCTTCTTTCTGATATTGAGTGTTTCTGAAAGGTGTGTTTCTGGCATGACTTCAACACGTCCGTCAATTGGATCACTTAATTAGATGTTATAGTTGACCGTCTCAATTAATTTTTGAATTTTCGAATTTTTTGAATTTAAAATAAATATTTTTTGTTTTGAATTTTTAAAGTTTTGAAAACTTGTTGTTGAATTAATATGGAGTAATTTTTAGTTCATAAATAATAATGAAGAAGAAAAAAAATCAAATATTGTTGGAGTAATATAATGATGAAGAAAAGAGCACAAATATTAGAAGTCAATTACCCCATAATTGAATTAATATGGAGTAATTTTTAGTTCATAAATAATAATGAAGAAGAAAAAAAATCAAATATTGTTGGAGTAATATAATGATGAAGAAAAGAGCACAAATATTAGAAGTCAATAAAATTGAAATTACAACAGCACAATTATTCGTTATCAGAATCGTCATTTTCTACATATACAGTATCTTCTTCTGTATCTGAACCGTCTATCCATTCACCTTCTTCCTGATATTGAGCGTTTTGTTGTGCTACATACATTTCCTCAATTTCGCGCTCAGATGGAATGGTTAGGTGCGGAAGGTGCGTTTCTGGCATGACTTCAACACGTCCGCCATTTGGATCACTTAATTGGACGTTATAGTTGACCGTCTCAACAATAGGCGGAGGTTGGAAAAATTGTTGCTGAAAAGCATCTAGATCAACGTCCTTGTGTTGAGTTTGTGATTTAATTTTGTTCGGACGGACAGGACATGCACACACCCAAGGATTCTGGGTCCGCCTTGTTGAAGGATATTCTGCATAATAAATCTGCGCTGCTTGTTGGGCGAGTATGAAAGGCTCATTTTTCGGGTACACACGAGAGTGGTTGACGTCAATCATATTATACTTCGGATTTTTGCGCACGCCACGTGTGGGATCGACCCATGTGCAGCGGAACAGAACGCATGTCAATTTTTGCACACCAGAAGGCATCTCAAGTTCCAGAATCTCCTGCAGGACACCAAAAAAATTGGTTTCCGAGTTATCATAACCGATGGTCGGGACACATAACCCGTTGTTCGTTGTTGGTCGGCCCTGTCCGTAATCGGCTGTGTGATATGTGTAACCGTTTATCACATATTGCCGCCACACTTTGGCACTGACACTTGGGCCCCACGCTAATGATACTAACAAAGGGTCGACAATCCCACGACTATTGATCTGTAAATATAAACATAATAATAATATTAGGTAAATATTGAAAAATCTTACTTAATAATATATATATAATTAATGTGTGTATATATATACCTGATACTTGTACCAATTTACAAAATCAGAGTCCACCAACGCATCAATTTCATTCTCAGGAAAGGCTGATAAAGAAGCTCGGAATTCACTGTGAAGTCAAAAATAAAAATAAAAAATAAAAAAATTAACTACAAATTTAATTTATAAGTATTACAATTATAACTACAAATTTAACTTACTGATAAAACGGTGAGATTTCTGGACAATTCATGAGGATATAAGTATGCGCAATTTGCAATTCCCCACCCAGGATGTATCATTGTGTCGCAGCACCTTTACCTCTGCCTGGGTAATTGAAGATGGAAACTACATTTTCATATAAATCCTCGCCAATGTCATCGTTCCGGGCAGGTCTCTTCCTTCTGGTGATGACGTCACGCTCGAAGTAAAAAGACGAGAACGTTGAGATTTCTTGTTGAAGATACGCTTGACAAATTGAAGCCTCAACGTGTGCCTTGTTGGTCACTTTCTTTTTCAACTCTCCTAGAAATCTGCAATAATGCAATAATACACATGTTAACAGTTATTGTGAAATAAATATTCTTTTTTTAAATGAAATTGTGACTAACCTTTCAAATCTGTACATCCAGCGATAGAAGATGGGCCCAACAGTCAAAGCCTCATACGGAAGATGTATTATGAGATGTTCCATTGTATCGAAAAACGATGGAGGCATTATTTTTTCCAGATTACACATCAGAATGGGAACAGACTCTTGTAGTCTCTGGAGGGATGCCGCATCCAAAACGCTGGAACATATCGATTGAAACAACAAACTGATTTCAGTAATGCAGGACCATACGTGTTCAGGGAGCATCTCTTTTAGTGCAATTGGTAGAAGTCTTTGCATTATTACATGAGCATCGTGAGTTTTCATGCTCGCCGTCGTGGTAAGTTTGTTCATGTCTACGCATCTAGACAAGTTGGAGCAGTAGCCATCTGGAAACTTCTGAGACGCAAGCCATTGTAATATTGCTGCCTTTTGTGGTTCTGTGACCTGGTAGACTGCTTTTAGAACTTCCTTGCCCTGATATTCTAGATCAACAGAAAGTTCGGGTCTATCACACCAAATAGTCATATCTTTCCTAGCTGCAAGACTGTCTTTAGTTTTGCCTTTCAAATCCATCACCGTGTTAAATATATTGTCAAAGACGTTCTTCTCAGTGTGCATGACATCTAAATTGTGACGGATGAGAAGGTCTTTCCAATAAGGCAACTCCCAGAATATGCTCCTCTTTGTCCACTTATGGGTATCACAATACCCATATGGCTCTTGGTTTGGCTCTTCCATAGCCGTAGGAAAACGTCGAACCCGATTATAAATTTCTTCACCGGTCAATCTCGGGGGTGGGCTCTCTCGTACCGCTCTGCCTCTAATGAAAGACTTCTTGTCCTTTCGATATCGGTGCCTTTCCGGGAGAAACTTGCGGTGACAATCAAAGTAACTTCCTTTTTTGCTGTAACTGAGCCAGTTGGCACCTGATTTCTCCATGCATATCGGACATCCCATCAGACCGTGTGTGCTCCATCCCGAAAGCATGCCATAGGCAGGGAAGTCGCTAATGGTCCAAATGATGACAGCTTTCATGATAAACATTTTATCTGATGAAACATCATAAGTTGGTGTCCAAACGGCCCACAGTTCTTTCATCTCCTCAATAAGGGGTTGAAGATAAATGTCTATCTTTCGCCCAGGATCCTTGGAACCCGGACAAATTAAAGACAAAAAGATGAAATGACTTTTCATGCACATGTCGGGAGGGAGATTGTAAGGAGTTAACATGACCGGCCAACATGAATAGTTCTTGCCAAACCTGCCAAAAGGAGCAAATCCATCTGAGCACAATCCCAGCCGCACATTTCGTGGCTCCATAGCAAACTGAGGATGACAGCGGTCAAAGTGTCTCCAGGCTTCACAGTCCGAAGGGTGAGCCATCATACCCTCGTTGGTTTCGTGCTCAACATGCCATGTCATGTGTTTCGCAATAGCAGTCGAAGCGTACATCCTTTGCAGTCGAGGAGCTATTGGGAGGTAATACAGTTTAGACAGTGCAGACCTATGTCGTGGTTTCTTTTTACCTTGACGAACAGGTTTGTATCTGTCTCCACCACAGAACTTGCAGAACTCAAGTGCCTCATCCTCCTTCCAGAACAACATACATCCTTCCGGGCACGCATCAATTTCAACACAAGGTAGCCCCAACTTAGACATTAATTGCTTCATGTGGTAATATGAATCCGGAAGGGTATGATCTCGCGGTAGCATCCCTCCTACTGACTGCAAGACTCTATTCATGCAAGTTTCAGGGAGACTGTATTCGGCTTTTATGTTCATGAACTCAGTAACAGCGGATAGCTGAGAGTATCCCTCACAATCAGCATACAGAGGTTGGTCGGCAGCTTTTAGAACATCCTGAAATCTCTCAGCCAAACCTTCATCCACATAAGGTTGATAAAATGTCGGATTTTCATCCGCATCTGGTTGATACGAGGTTGAGGCTTCAGGGGGGTCGTTAGGTGGTTGTGGGGGGTTGAACTGAGACGGTACACCGTATGCGTCATATACCATTTGTAGGTCCCACCTCATTTCAGCACGGTCTCCCCACGCACTCATCTCTGGAGGGACGTAACGAGACGAACCTACCGTTTGTGGTATAACAGATGGATCCAAAGGTTCGCCGTGAGAAGTCCAATTATAATAATTGGGAACAAAACCGACCGCGTACAAATCATACCCAACTTCGTGTGGGTCTTTAAATTTGAGATTTTTACACTTTGAACATGGACATCTTATTTTATCACCACTCATATAAGCCGGATGTTCAAGTGCAAATTCAATAAATTCCCCGACTCCCTCGAGAAAATTTGATTGCATTCCGTACAATACCGCATCTTTATCATACATCCAACTTCTATTTTGTTTATACATTATGCCTGAATATTATAATAAAAAATTATATGAAATGCAATGCACACAATTTTAAGTAATTTATTTCACTAAATATAATCAACTAATTTTCATTAAATTAAATGAAATGCACATAATTCACAACAATAATGCACAAAATATACGTCCCCTAATGCACAATAATGCACATAATTTCACTAAATTAAACATACGTTTAATTAAATCTAACTAATTCATTTAGTTAAATTTAACTAAATTTAACTAGTTCATTCTGTCCCCTTTTAATGCATCACTACGTTTAAACCTACGTTTAGCTAACTAATTTAACTTAATTAACACATCAATAGCTACATTCAAACCTACGTTTAGCAAACGAATTTTAATTAAATTATTTTTGTAAACCTACGTTTAAACCTACACTAAATTATTACGTTAATGACATTTAATCTTATTAGTAATACACAATTAACAATTCACTAAATTAAATAATATGACCAAATTCAACCCAATAATTTGAACATGTATATAAAGTCATTTGAATTAATAAGCAATACACAATTCACAATAACAATTCACAATTCACTTAATTAACACATTACTAACGTCCGTTATTTGAACTAATTTATGACATTACTACGCTTATAGTTAAAACATGTTGTTAATTGATTAACAACCTCACTAATTTAATAGTTTTAATAATTTAAATTGAACCAACTAATTCTAAATAAAAATTATAATTCAAATAACATACCTTATCTGCATAAACAGGGAAAATGATAGAAGATAGACTACATCCTTCGATCTTTCAAACGGATACTGTATATACTGGGAATGAATTGGTGTGGTTCTGTTCAATGAGCTGCTCCTGCATATATAAAAAATTTAGTCACGGACTTAGTCACGGATTTGTCCGTCACTAAGCAAAACCGTGTCCAATACGCGTCCAACACGTGTTAATGACGTGTAAATGACGTGTTAATCAAAGTAGTCACGGAAATAGTCACGGATATGGCCGTGACTAAAGTTATCCGTACATAATACCGTTGCGAATTAAGTTATGGGAGACGAAAAAATTAAATTTTAATCATAGTCACGGCTGTAGTCACGGATGTGGCCGTGACTAAGTCGCCGGGATAAAATAAACTTCGCCGGAAACGGAAAAGTTCCTATCGGAGGATTTAAGTCACGGGCCACGACCGTGACTAAATGTAGTCACGGCCATAGTCACGGTCCAAGCCGTGACTATTTTTTTTTTAAATTTCCGTGACTAGTCCGTGACTAAACTAGTCACGGACCAAATCCGTGACTACGGTCCGTGACTACACGCGTGTTTTTTTGTAGTGGGTGGTAGTGAAGATTGGAAAGATTTCATAGTGAAGTATTCAATATCATCCAACTCAGAACATCAATAGTGCATGACCAACATGCTATGTTGTGCCCTAGAAGAGAGGTTGTGTGATGAATGTGTTTATTTTCCAGCATCACCAGCGGTATATGAAGTGAGTGGTGGAGGATCTTCTTTGGTTCAATCTGCATCACTGACTATCAAAGAAAACGTGGTTAAACACTCTAAATTGAGCCCCTACAGTCAGGTATTGTTGCTGCAAAAAGAGGCTCAATCTGAAATATTTTAGCAAAGAAATTGTTGTGAACATCAAATTTTAAGTGGCTAGGTGGAAAAATTAGAATCACTTCTTAAATTATCTATAAGGGTAGTAGTTCGGGAAAATGTTGACATTGGATTTCAAGATTGTATTTGCTACTTAAGGGCAGTATTTTTTGCTAGCACTTGAAGGAGTTATCCATTAACTAATGTGTTTTTATTCTATGTTAGTATATTTTAAGTTATAGATTAATGGTAGTACTTCAAGTGTAATTTGTAAATGTGTAAATGAAGATAAAGAAGTGGTGATACCTCCCTCTTGCTAATGTTTGTGTGTTTTTTTGGCAAAATGTTTGTGTGCAAATTTAAAACAATCTTTCTTTAACTCTACTTAATACAATGTATTTATTGTTTTGTTTGTGAAACCATGACCATGTATATACTTCTGATAGATTTATGATAAAATTCTATTCTATTATCAACTTTGTTATATTTTAATTCTTTCAATTAGGGCCCGTTTGGTACGGTGTAAAGTAAACACTTTGCACGCAAAGTGTGGGGATGTAAACATTTTACACTGTTTGTTATACTTATTTGATGTAAACTTTAGGGCACTTTTTTTTTAAAATATTTTACGTGGAGGGGTGGAGACTGGAGGGAGGCTAGTAAACTACTTTACATCCGACGTTACCTATTACAAAATATATCGTGCTTCCCGTTTTACGATCCAGCCCTATTTTTTTTTTTTTTGGATGAAATGTAAATATATATTAACACCCAGAAAAACTATACATCACATATCCTAGATCTCCTAAAACCTCCCCCACTCCCACATATTGTGAGAGTGAAAGTAGGTTTTTATTCGATCTATTCTATGCCAAATGACCAGG